GGGGGGGGGGGGGATTGCAAGCTTTACCAGATACGGTGACACCTGTCCGAACTTCAACAAGTATTTCAATGTGTTTTGAACTAAAAGTCCAGCAACAACTCCCTATCAAAGAAAGTCTGAGTGTTAATTACCGAATCATGTAACGAATTTATAATACATCTTCAACCAGAGCAATAAACAGGACTCTAGCAGTGTTGCTGTAAAAAAAGTAAATATTCAAAAGTGAGTGGGAGAATACACATGAGAAAAGCCGGCAAATTAACAGCAAATAGGGCTATAAGGAGAAAGAGAACAATTTAAAGATGAAACAGACATCAACCACAACTTCCACTGTTTCTTTCTTTTTCTAATTGCCTTCCATTTAAAACCGTCTTTTCACTTGTCGATCTTCAGGCAGAGAAATTAGAACTTGTCATGCATAAAATTAAGAGAGAAAAGGAACAACGAAAAATTGGGGGATGAAAGTTTTTCATACCATTGTAGTAGGTAGCGAGGCAGCACAAACCCCTTCACGCTTTAGGGTCCGTTCATCGATTCCAGATGCTACGACCTAAAAGCACAAGCATTCCATTACAACAATTTACTTGGTTTACTTGCAAGCAACATTAGTTGGAGTACATACAGAAAACTGAAATTTAGCAGAACAAAGTCATTTTCAGCTATAAGACAGCATTTTTAACTTTTAAGCCTCAGACTTAAGCTTAAGATTGTTACACAAATCAAGAGCCTCACTCCAAGTAAAGAATAGTGATCCTTAATTGAAGTCATTAGGGAAAACTTCAATAACTAAACATACCAGCGGAGGCACACATGCAAAGCAGGCACTTTCACCAGGAATCAGCAATTGTATGTGACCTGAGACAGCATCTTCAGATACACCTGTCACAAAGTTTCACATGAATTCTAAATTATCCAAAATATATTTCCCTATCATTTGACAAAAAAATTTGGTTTGCTACATGAAAATAAAAAGTTGCACATGAATTCCTTTAGTGGAATCCATACAAGAAAATTATGCAGATGACATCCAGATTCTTACAAATACAGATATGCATGCCATTGTAATAGAAGCTTGTAGTATTATAAAGTCGGAACACATTTGTCGTGTGTTGATATAACTAACTATTTTTCAGCATTTTATGATATAAAGAGGCGATAGAAATTCAAATTTATTTGGCTAAAAGTTGCAGGGATACATTAAGAAAAGAAGCAAGGGAGAAAGATCGGTCTCCTCTTCCACTAAATTAAATGAGCTAAGTTTGTGCATTACCAAAGTTTAGTTTTTCACCAGTTCATTTACAGTTTCTTATACAGTGAGTATTTTAACACTGGAAAGTTTTCAAAGTATCTCTTCTATAAGAAGGCTATCTTATAGCTAAAAAT